GTCCCTGGGAAGCAGGCTGCCTGCCCGGCCCGTGTCTGTGGTGGGCAGTGCAGGTGGCACAGCTTAGGCGGACGTGAGGAAGCAGACACTCAGCTAACGGCAGCCAATCACCACCCAGCAAATGATTTACAACTGGGCACGGTGTATGCCAACGCCTGGCGGCTCTCCCTCTCCCTGGGGTCCCATAAGCTTCTCCTTGACCGTGACGGGCACAGTGACCTTGCTAATAGCTCTTTCTCCAGGCAATGTCTGCATAAATGTACAAGTAGCTTCAGTTTAGTTCAGAACGACGAAGAACTCTCCAGAACCTGAAAGTAACCAGCTGCTCTGCCATCGGCATGGGATTTGAAAAAGACCATTTGTAAAGGTAATTTGTGTAGCATTTGTTGCAAGAAGATCTTAGCTTTTAACGCATTCTAAGGACGGCTCGTCACGGAGATAGGGATGTGTGTGAATTCTACAAACGTGGGTTTTAGGGGAGCCCCCAGACGCCCTAACGACAGGGAGGGAGAAATCAAAGGAGAAGAAACTGAGGCAAACAGCAAACACGCTCTTCACACAACATTTAACCCCTCCTGCAGCACCGACGCTCTCCTCTCGGCTCTTCCAGGGCATCTACTCACCTCGTACAGCAAACTGATTGCTGTTCTTACAGCCTTTCAGAAATAAAGCAAGCCGATGAACATTTATTTATGTTCATTTGCAAAGGTGAGTAAGTGCCCACGGTCCTCATTCTCAAGCTTAAAACTTGGAAAACTACGAACATTTCAGGAACTCGTTTCAGAACCTACCTTTCAGATTTGGTCATAGCATTACTGCCAAGAATGAATGGGGAAGCCGGATTAAAGATACATTTAAAAACACCCCCGATCACTTTTAACATGAATGACCTGCAAACACTGACTTGGGGCTGACGGGCTGATCGTGTCTGTCCTTCCCAGGATCCTGGGCCCAGTTTCCAGCAAGAACTAAGGTCCTACCTAGTCCACCAGCTCTCAGTTCTCGGGAGGCCCTCTAGTGACACCTTGTGGGCACTTGTGATACCGCAGCCGCGCACCACCTCGGCCGGGGGACCCGTCACCGGACACTGGGCAGGCAGCCTGGCCCCTCGCCCTGCTCGGAACTGAGAGGCAGGACCGCAGCCTCGGCAGGGAGGGTGCGGCCGCACGTGGGTGAAGACCACAGCCAGTGGGAGAAAACGCTCAGCTGCTCCCTGGCTCTCCCTCCCCACGAGCCAGACCCTCTCCAGAGACGCGATGGACTCCCTGAAAAGGCCGACCTGACGCCCACTCGTCCAGTAGGGCAGTGGTGGGCCCACCGCCGGGCACCGAGGCCTAGACAGAGCCTGCACACCTGGAGAGCCCTGTGCCTCGGGCACTGTTAAGAGTGCCTGTTAGCCTCACCCCATCCCACCTGAGGCTGCCATTTGTAGGTGAAGAAACTACAGCCAACGCTACACAACATGCTCAAGGTCACTCATCAAGTGGCCGCGCCACGACCTCATCATCCCACATCTTGCAAACATTTCCACTGAAGCGCCCCAGCAACTAAGGAAGTGAGCCCTTCCCGCCCGACGGGTGACCACAAACCACACGACTTCCTGCCAAGCCTTCTCTCAAAAATGCATGCAAACATGTGACACTCAAAGGAATTCTCTGAACTTTCTCATGTTAGCACTCTCTACGAAAATTTAAAATACACTTGTGGCTTCCCGGTCCCTCGGCCACGCCCACTGATGCCCTTAAACTCCTCGGATGGGCAATTCTCAGAAAATGCTTAACTTTACTAATATAAGACGTACCCATTTAAAGCACGGTGACACCATGTTTTCATCACATTAAGAAAAAACTAAGCCAATGAAACACCTGATGAGGGTGTGGGGAAACTGATGGAGAGGAAGCTGGCATGACTTTCTGGATGGCAACTTGGCACCTTCCACCAAACTCTGAAACACGTCCCCTCCCGCACAGCAAGGCCGTCCAGGAAACCCTCTCTGAGCAGCCGGGCAGAGGAGCGATGACACGCCCGGGTCCTGGGAGACCACGCAGCAGCCGTAAGGATGCCTGTGACCTTGACTGCTTTCCTGACCTTTCACCCTCTGCGCCACTTCAGTGTCTATTCACACAGGTCCTTAGGGAAAATACTAACTTCTCAGAAAACTCTTAAATACACTTAAATACTCCAATCACAGTTAAGAAACACGAGTGGACTCCTAAGTTGATAATTCCTGATAAAACGTGCACATCTTTTGTCCTTTAGTTTGGATGATCAAGAATGGCGCTAAAAAGTATGACGTGAGCTCCGCCTTTTTTTTTTTTTTTTTTTTT